GCTTGTATGTTGGATTTGATGGAGAACTGAGTTTTGAGTTGTTAGTCCTAACAGAATATTAAAATTAAAAGCAAATACTAATGGAATATTAATTCTACCAAAATATGTTTTGATTTTAGTTGAATTTTCCAACTACGATTATAAAATTAAAATATATGCTAGAATTGTCGTTGAAATTCTATTACAATTAACATACCACTTTTATAATTTAACCATTTTCTTGTAATATTATTTTTCCTTTATTTTATTATTGACGTGATTAAAATATTCTAATATAAAATAAAGCCAATTGTAATTGATGTAGATTTCCTTTTTCTTTAACATATTTTTTTTTCTTATTTAACTAAAAAAATAAATTAACTAGTGGAAAAAAAAAATAGTCATGTCTCTTTGTTTTTGTCCTGTATTTGTTTTATTTATTAGTTTATATGTGATTATGAATAATTTATGAACGGTGGGCCGTGGGCCGTGGCCATCATGCAAGAAGAACCACAAACAGCTCCTGATATGCATGTTTTAAAGTTATTAATGCAAGCTAATTAAAATGAAACCATATGGCTTGAGTTAATATATGGTGACAAGTAACAACTACACATTTATAATATAATGTGTACTATGTATCCATTTCAACTAATCTATTATTATTATTATTATTATTATTATTATTATTATTATTATTATTATTATTATTATTATTAATTTGACAATCACAAATCAGATTTCACTTATATTATGTAAACATGAGTTAACGCACTACAAAACATTGTCATATTCCAATAAAAAATCCTAGTTGTATATTACAATGAAAATTCAAACCAATATATATTCTAGTGGTATAGTTACCGTTCGAATGCGTTTTCCATTGAGATTTTAGATTAAATTTGATAATTCGAACAACTATTTTTCCACAGATTTTCTACCATAAGAAATTCTGTTAGAGTATGCAATTTTCTTTAGAATTTTTATTTGTACTTATATTTCAATCGTCGAAAAATCTACCGTTGAAATCGTCAAAATTCAACAAAAATTCTAATAAAAAATTCATTCAAATGGAATATTTTTGTTGGAACTTTCGTTAGAATCAATTGAAAAATTGCAACGAAAATAATAGCATAGAATATCCACTAAAATTGTCGTTGGAATTCCATTGTTATATTTTTCCGTTAGAATTTCAGTATTTTCTTGTAGTTGTATGTATTGGTGATATTATAGAAACCCAATAATTAATTACATAATGGATACTCTAATTTACCAACTTATAAATAATCTCTTGAATATGAATTTCTTGTAATGCAAATGCTAGAGGTGTCATACATTACACATACAACTATGCAATTTACTATCGTACAATGATTAATCTAGAGCTGTAAATGCAATAACTTGCAAATCTTATTAAGTGAACTTGCTGAGAGCAAATCAATAATATAACATATATATATATATATATATATATATATATATATATATATATATATAGGGATTGATTCAAATAAAAACTAATTTTTGGTGTGAAAACCGTGAGAACCATATTTGATTCTACTTTCAATTGTGTATGAAGTTATTAATTTTAATATTACATGGTGCTATCATTTTTACAAATGTTAACATAAATTGTGTTACTATTTTTAATATAAAATACATCATGATTAAAAATAACACTAAAATACAATTAATCATAACACTCCATACAATTAAAAATAATAGTTCTCACGATTCTCACGTTAGGACTTGGTTCTCATTTGAACCACATCCTATATATATAATTTTTTTTTTTAATGTCGTATTGTAAAATGTTTATGTTTAACAAAATTCAGTTTGTGATTTGATATTTGGGTTTTTCTTGCTTAAATACAGCCTCCATATATATTAGAAAGTTGTGATAAAAAAAATGATAATTTTTGTGCTGACTTTTAACATTTTGACATCTGATGACCAATTATGCAGCTATTTGACGTGAAAATACAAGAAAAACTTATCGAAGCAAGAGATGATGGATACTAAGGTTCTATATAAACTTGGCTATCTCATAGACGTAACCTCATATTTTCTGACTCATCAGATATATGCATATCTTTGACTCTATCTATAAACTTTGACTCTATCTATATCTGATCTGATTATGTATAATATGGACGAACCAAAAGTAAAACATATATGTTGTGTATTCTCAAGCAACAATTCATTAGATAAGTTACATACCTTCTCGATCGTTCATGTTTTGTACCCATCGTCAGGGCATTTGTTTTTTATTTAAAAATAAAATGCTTTTCAGGGTTTTTTTTATTCTTTTTAAATTG